CGGGGCCCTCGTGCAGCTTGCCACCGCGGCTGGGTGGGGCACAGGCTGTGTCTAGAGCTCGTCAAGCTCAGAGCCCTGGTCTCTGGAGCAAAGGCCTTCCAGCCGAGATTCCAAGGTTCCTAGAGGTTCCAATGCCTGGGGCGTGCCCGCTCACCCGCACGATACGCGCCCCAGGGCACATGCAGACCCGAGCGGCCTCGTGACAGCAGGACAGGAAAAAACCATCTCACGGGTTACTGGGGCCACTGCCAACGCACCAGGTTCCCGATGGAGATTGCCCTTGGGAGGACCACTTCGCTTTTTTTGGTTTTTTTTTTGAGAACAGGGCTTGAGTCTCGCTGTGCTCCCATGGCTGAGTCGGCAGTGGGTTGTGCATCGGCTCACTTGCAAGGGCTTTTCTTCTGCCTTCCCGGGTTTCACGCCCATGTCGTCCGCCCTCAGCCGTCCCAAGTTAGCTGAGGACTACAGGGCGCCCGCCACCACGGCGCCGGCGCCGTTAGTTTTTGTTATTGTTAGTAGGGGACGGGGTTTCACCAGGGTGTAGCCCAGGATAGTCTCGATTTCTCCTGACCTCGTGATTCCCACCCCCTGCGCCTCCCAAATTGCTGGGTATTACCCAGGCTTGAGCCACCAGCGCCCGCCGGGGAGATCACTTCTAAACCCCCAGTAGCACCCTCCATTCAGTCACTGCACATTTACCCAGCACCCACTTCCCGCCTGCGAAGCTGCCAAGAACCACAGGCCAGCCAGACCCCACACAGGGTGAGTAACCCCGCACTCAGAGCTTCATCAGGCCCCACCAACGAGGTGGTGGGTAACCGCACAGAGGGGCTTCATTAGCCCCCCACAGGGGTGGATTAACCGCACATAACCCGCACAGAGGCTTCATCAGCCCCACCACAGGGTGAGTAACCCGCACAGAGGCTTCATCAGCCCCACCACAGGGTGATTAATCCCCGCAAAGGCTTCATCAGAAGATGAGGTCAGTGTAAAGGAGAAAAACAAGGCATGGCATCATCCCAGCGCTGGAAAGAACGTTCCAGAAAGGAGCAGCAGCACGTGTAGGCCCTGTGAGGGTGCGGCTGCCTCCTTGAGGGTCAGAACATCACACGGGAAGGCCTGGAGAGGCGGTCGCCTGCCCCCCGTCTTGCAGCTTCTCGGGGCAGTGGATCTGATCGGGGGCTTGGCATGGTGCACGGGCCTCCATGGACCGACCCACATGACCACAGGGTGAAACCCCACCCCTGCCCCAGTGGGCGACCCTGATGGACTGGAATGCATAGTGCATATCAACACCGTGAGAGCAGAGAGGGGCCCACGCCCGCCCTGGCCCCAGACCTACCTTTCCACAGGGTGAGGGCCAGCAGCTGGTGCAGCCGGGGGTGGCCCAGCTTCCCGGAGCCTCCACTGGACCACTTCAGGGCTCTGGACACAAAGGCCACGCGCTCAGGAGAGTTGGGGTCCATCAGACTGAACACTTTAGCCAGATTTTCTGCAAAGAGCACAGACCCTCATCAGAGAAACGCACAGCAACTCCGGTTCTCTGTACCACACACCTTACGGAAGTGGATTTCAATCCACAACTACTTAACAGGGAGAGGAAGCTGGTGGGTGTCCCTGAGTGAGCCATGGGCCACCCTGCTGACCTGCCCACCGCAGTGCCAGCACCACGGGCCCCAGAGCACAGTGAGGAAGGACAGACACCCTGGCCGAGGCAAGGGCTGGGGAAGGTTCCGTGGGGAGTCTGGAGTCCAGGAACACCTGTGGCCGCTCTGGGTACCTGGCTCTGGCTCGGGGGCATCTCCCAGAGCAGCAGGGACTAGGAGTGGGACTCGCAGCCAGGCCACCCACAGAAGGGCTTTGCTGACCTCACGCTCACCCGACAGGACATGCCGACAAGTCAAATCCCTGGACAAAATGGTGCCCCACCCTGAACCAGCGCCCACCTTGCCAGCTGGCGGGGAGGCCACTGTCCATCAGAGCAGGGGAGAGGCCAGGGCCCCGATCATACCCTGCCGACGAGTCACAGCAGGTGCTGCTCAGCCTGCAGTGTGCTCGGGCCAGGGCCAGCCAGGGGGCCTGGCTCACCGGGACCGGGTGAGAACTGCCTCTGCAGCAGGGTGAACCCCAGAGCACAAGACCCTCAAACGCAGACACCAAACACGGCAGACCCCCAAACGCAGACACCAAACACGGCAGACCCCCAAACGCAGACACCAAACACGGCAGACCCCCAAACGCAGACACCAAACACGGCGGACCCCCAAACGCAGACACCAAACACGGCGCACAGACCCGGGGAGGGGCGCACCGGGGCCACCGTCACAGGGTCCCGGGGTGCAGGGCCGGATGCTCACCCAGCAGCTCGTCGGCCACCTCCACTTCTGCCTTCTCCAGGGACTCCAGGACAAGCATGGACAAGTCTGCTGCGCTGTTTTGCTACAAAAGAGAGAAACACACAAAAATCAAGAACAAAGCTCCGACCTGTTCAGGACAGAAAAGACAAGGCTGGGTTTCCAGCAGAAGCCAGAGCACGGCCAGTGCTGAGGAGTCTATTCTGAGCACCACGTCCCTTGGTAATGCCACCAAAAAACAGATCTCCTGGCCAAGAATCAAATGAAAATGGACAGGGCCGTTTATACCAAAATGCCCACTCAGCCCCACTGTGCACAAACGCAGCGCAGCATCTCAGCCCTGAGAGGGGAGCAGCTGAGCCAGGGACTCTGGGCCCCTCTGCCACCCACAGCCCCAGTGGCCAAGGCCCAGGGCAGCCCAAGGTATGCCTTTCAGGCCCCTCCCATGTCACTCCCACCTCAACTTGTCTGCCGGGAGCAGGAAGGGACGCAGGAGGAACAAGACGGCGTACCTGGCCATGGCTGAAGAACAGCAGGGCTCCCGAGTACATGAGCTCCCGGGCCTCCGCGTGCTTGCTCTGGGACATGTACCTGCCACAGAGAGGAGACCGTGAGCCGCACCCCCACGCTCTCGCCACCACACTCCCGGCTCATCTTCCTCGCTTTCTGGGCTCCTGGGCTATTGTGGCACAGGGATGGGCGCCCTTAGTAAGTATCAGAGGGCGGCCCCCACGGCTGCCTCGGATGGTCGCATGGACGCCAGGGAGGCTCTTAGCAAGGCACCTGGGAGCTGCTGCCCCCACCCTGTTCTTGGTTAGAAAGCATCTGTCGTAAGGGAGGCACCGTTTAGGGATTCACCCGTTCTGGCGTGCACCCCCTTGTTTTTGCTCTGCTGAG